GTATTTTAAAGTTTTGTTAAACATCTACGTGCTTGTAAATAGGCCTGTCACGATAACAAATTTTGCTGGGCGACTGTCTCAGAAATTATTGTGATAAACGGTAATATTGTTTAAAATTTGACAATAATTAGTAATTATTGTCAAATTTAAAAAGAAATGGTTAATTTGTCTTGTGTATAGTACCTTTTTTCGACCACCGGATGGCAGTATGACTGTTTGAACTGAAGGATGGATAGTGAGGGAGTGAGCAGCATGTTTTTTTAAGAAAAATGGGACTGAGGACTAGAGCTGGACAATAATTCGATATTGATATATCTCGCAATATACTTTTATTCAATAATGATGATATGAATTTTAAGCACATTTTTGATATTTCGATAGGATTACAGCGTTTTCTGTTCGGGTTGAAGCGGCCACTTCAGTTTCAACCCGGACAGAAAAAGGTGCGACACAACTACGTAAGTGCGTGGTGACGTGATGTTACGCAGAGCTCGAGTCCAGAAGGCGTTAGTGGTAGCAGGCTAAGCTAGGCTAATCTCCAGCGCGCATTAAGTTTATGCTTCAAAATGAGTTCCCATGATCGTCAGAATGTGACTGAACAAGATTTCACAAGCGAAGAGAAGCAGATGACATCACTGATAAGAGGAAAGACTAATTCGCTGGTTTGGAAGTGGTTCGGCTTTCTAAGATCCGATAAACTGCAGGTTTCAGTCAGTTTGCTGCAAAATGTGACGGAGAGTCGTTCTAACTAGAGTTTGGAACATCGAACTTGTTCCACCTGACAGAAGATGATGGGTATGTGTACATGGACATAAGTAACCGGATCAAATGGCCGGTTGGAATAAAAGTGTGTCATGTAAACACTCCGTTCGGGTTATTTTTTGTGTATTCAGTGCGATCCGTTATAATTTGTGATCAGAACGAAACGGGTGGTTTACGCCGATCCGAAACCCGATCGGTGCACATGTAAACACTTGATCTGTTTGTTTTTATCTGATCGTGAAAAACTGACCTGACTGCGCATGTGCGACTTTGCCATTTCCGCCTGGCTAATGCTAATAATATTAGCATGTAGCGGAAGCAAAACTGGTTGGTGAGCGACACAACATTTCTACTAGAAACTTTGAAAGAGCTCAGAATGATCTGTGTTACCTGTAGATCAGTCAGGGAGTGCAGTAACGTCTCCACCATCATTAAAACCTGTCGTGGGTCCATTTTGGGTGCTCAGGTTTGTTTACGTTCATCCCGGAAG